ATGATTTTGAAGAGAGACATACTCAACTTGAAATAGAATTTGCTAAACTTGTTGCAAGCTGGGAACAACTAGTGAAAGTCGATAAAAATCTGAATGACGAGCTGAAACAAAGGGATGATCTTCTAAAAAAACTGAATACAGACCTTGTCATAAAAGAAGATCTCATCACTCAGATAAGATCCAGAGAAGGAAAACTGATAAAGGAATTGGAAGGTCTGAAGAAAAATATCCAAATGATGGACACCACATCAACCTTAGACAAGATTCTAGACTCTGGCAGAAATCCTAATGATAAAAAAGGTCTAGGATTTGAACGAGGTGAATCTTCGAATAATGCACCTATGTTTGTCAAAGAGGGTATGTTTAAGGCCACAGCAGTTCACAGCTTTGAACAAGGACAGTCATCTCGGTCAGTACAGAAAATTGACAAGAGAAGGAGATATGACCAGACTGCAGATACTGACCGTGCCAAAGTAACTCATCAATCTCATTATTCAAGGTTCAAAAATAAGTTTGTCAGAGTTAGACAATACACTCCCATTTGCCACTACTGTTCAAACAAAAGGTCATACTCGGCCTGAGTGTTATTTTTTCTACAGAGATCAAAGGAAGGAAAAATATCAGAATAAGACCATTACACCGTTTAACAGACAGGTTTGGGTCAGAAATTCAGAAGTTATATGCTACCCCACTATAGTTCTGACTGCGTCTACAACTGAATCTAGATGGTATTTCGACAGTGGGTGTTCCAGACATATGACTGGAAATGCGAAGTGTCTCATGGCTGTTCAACCAAGCAATGGATCTGTAACATATGGCGATGGACAAAAAGGAAAGATAGTTGGGAAAGGTACCCTGAATGTACCAGGTTTACCCCAATTAGAAGAAGTTCTGTTAGTCTGTGGGTTGAAAGCTAATCTGATTAGCATCAGTCAGTTGTGTGATCAAAATTGGAATGTGTGCTTCGATCGTAACTGCTGCAGAGTTAGTGACAAAGCAAATCAACTTGTCATGGAAGGAACCTGATCCTCAGACAATTGTTATGTTTTGACTAATGAAACTGCATGTCACCTATCTAAATCTGATGAATCAAAACTATGGCATAGACGACTGGGTCACGTAAACTTCAGAGATATGGATAAGCTGATCAAACTGGAAGCTGTGAGAGGTGTACCTAAGAGCAGAATAGATCTGGAAAGGGTTTGTGGTGCATGTGCCATTGGGAAACAAATCAGAACTCCACACAAAGCAGTAAGAGGTATCACCACTGAGAAGTGTCTAGATCTTGTTCACAAAGACCTCATGGGGCCAACACAGACTGAAAGCATTGGGGGAAAGAAATACATATTTGTGTGTGTAGATGATTTCTCTCGATACAGCTGGGTATACTTTCTAAGAGAAAAATCATAAGCATTCAAGGCCTTTAAAACTCTATGCATAAGGGTTCAGAAGGAAAAGAATGAGTCTATAATAAAAGTTAAGAGACTAAGAAGTGATCATGGAAAAGAATTTGAGAATTCACTAGACTCAGATTTCAGCTCCGAGCACGGTATATCACATGAGTTCTCAGCTCCTAGAACTGCTCAACAGAATGGTGTGGTGGAAAGAAAGAATCGAACCTTACAAGAAATGGCTAGAGTTATGCTACATGCCTCTCATCTGCCGCAGCGCTTCTGGGCTGAAGCAGTACATACAGCCTGTCATACAGTAAATAGGGTCTATCTTAGACCAGGAACGAACAAAACACCATATGAGATCTGGAAGGGAAAGAAGCCTAACCTGAAGTATTTTCATGTGTTCGGGACAAAGTGTTATGTGTTGGCTGATAGAGAACAAAGAGGGAAGTTTGAACCTAAGAGTGATGAAAGCATCTTCCTTGGATACTCTCCAAACAGTCGTGCCTATAGAATCTACAACAAGAGAACTCAATCTGTGATGGAATCAGTAAATGTGGTTATAGATGACTGTCCAGAAAAATCAGTAGACACAACAGTGACAGATCCAGTGACAAAGCTTCCTCTCAGTGAACTAAATACTGCAGACAGCAACAGTCAGCCCAAATCACAAGAATCCTCAGATGAAGATCAAGAAAGTTCGGAACAGGAGAAAACTCTCATAAATGATACAGGTAAAGACAAACCCACCAGAACTCAGAAAAATCACCCATCAGATAACATCATTGGTGATCCAACAGATGGGATGAAGACAGGAGCAGAATAAGAAATAATCTGATAGAAATATCTGGGTCTGCTTGCTATACCTCAAAGATAGAACCCAGGAATGTAAAAGAAGCTTTACAGGATGATCTGTGGATCAAGGCAATGCAGGAAGAGCTACATCAATTTGATCGAAATCATGTTTGGGATCTAGTTTCAAGACCTGATGGTGTCAACATAATTAGAACAAAGTGGATCTTCAAAAACAAAACTGATGAAGCTGGGAATATTGCAAGGAACAAATCTCGGTTAGTGGCACAAGGGTACACTCAAATAGAAGGAATTGACTATGATGAGACATTTTCTCCTGTGGCTAGACTAGAGTCAATCAGAATTCTGCTAGCTGTTGCATGCATTCTGGGATTTACATCGTTTCAGATGGATGTCAAGACAACGTTTTTGAATGGGTACCTGCATGAAGATATCTATGTGGCGCAACCTAAGGGATTTGAAGATCCAGAACATCCATCACATGTCTACAAGCTTAGAAAGGCTCTCTATGGTCTTAAACAAGCCCCACGGGCATGGTATGAATGACTGACTCAGTATATGCTACAACATGGTTATAAACGAGGAAGTGTTGACAAAACTTTATTCGTAAAAATTACTGGAAGTCATGTCACCATTGCTCAGATCTATGTGGATGACATTGTATTCGGATCAACTCTACAGAAATACACAGATGAGTTAGTAAAAGTTATGAAGGAAGAATTTGAGATGTCAATGGTTGGTCAACTGACATACTTCCTAGGACTGCAAGTTAAGTAAAGTTCTGAAGGGTACTTTATCTCACAAGAGAAATATGCTAAGAATTTAGTCAAGAAGTTTGATCTGGAATCATGTAAACCATCCAGGACACCGATCTCCACCTCCACAAAAGTATCCAAAGATGACACTGGTGTATCAGTGGATAACACAGTCTACCGAAGCCTGATAGGAAGTCTGTTGTACTTGACAGCTAGTCGACCAGACATAATGTTTAGTGTTGGAATATGTGCAAGGTATCAATCTGATCCAAAGGAATCACACCTCATAGCTGCTAAACGAATTCTGAAATATATAAAAGGAACGATTCAGTATGGTCTATGATACTCCAAGGACAGTGAACTGAGTCTAATTGCATACTGTGATGCTGACTGGGCAGGGAACATTGATGACCGTAAGAGTACATCTGGTGGTTGCTTCTTTGTCGGTAAGAACTTGGTGTCATGGCTGAGTAAGAAACAGAACTCAATTTCATTAAGTACTGCAGAGGCAGAATACATAGCTGCTGGTGGATGCTGTACTCAGTTAGTATGGATGAAACAGATGTTATTAGACTATGACCTTACTCAAGGAATTATGACACTCTATTGTGACAATGTCAGTGCTATTAATATCTCAAAGAATCCAGTTCAACACTCCAGAACGAAGCATATTGATATAAGGCATCACTACATCAGAGACCTGGTAGAATCAAAGGAGATTGAGTTGGAATATATTCAAACAGAGAAACAGTTGGCTGATATCCTGACTAAGCCCCTAGACGCAAACCGGTTTGAGATTCTCAGATCTGCTCTGGGAATCTGCAGAATTGGCTAATAGGGAAGATCGTCACTCAGAAGGAGAGTGCAAGGTTTACGTATTCTGGTCAAATTTCAGTTTTGACTTCCTTTTAAATCTCCCTTCATTTTTGTTAAGAGAATATCTTAACCTAAATTACCATAAAAATAATTAGGCTTTTTCAAATTTGAAATATGCCTAGCATCCGTTTCTTGCCTAAAAAGGAGGTATACCGTTGCGTCAATCACATCAGCTCTGCATGTATTCTGACTAGCTGCATTTATTGGGGTTCTTCTCCCTTGGGCTTATAATCGAGTATCGAGTAAGACTTGAGAGAACGAACAAGAGACTCTCTCTACACACAGACTGTATTCTCCTTGATCTCCTATCTAGGGTTTACTTCCTCGTCTTCTCAAATCTCTCATCAATGGCGGATGCAGTTCGTAATATGATCATCAAGCTTGGAAGAAAGGTGTATTCACAAGAAACAGCCACCAAACATGTCAAAACCTTACTTCTGTTGGCTATGAAGAAAAAATTGAAGCTTGATCCCCTTCTCCGCGATGAAATCATTGTCACTGTACTGTCCGATTATCCTGAGTTTTATACCGACTGGTCCGATGATGACACCAGTGAACTATTGATGCTGGCCTCCGAAGCAGGTGATGATATTAATCCTGCGTCTATTCCACAGCCCTCAGATGGAAATCGCGCTGGGGCGTTCCTCCATTACTTTGCTCAAAGAGCCCTTGAGTCTGAAGAAATTTCCCTTCGTCGAGAAATTGCTCAACCCCTGTATCTTCAGGCTGCTGAGAATGAAGCTACACATCGTATTGAGATTCTGTGAAACAGGTCAAATTCCTCTGACTCTCCTATAGAAATTTCACCTGATAAACCTGAGAATCTAGTGTCTAATGCTGCCCCATCTATTGTTCATGTTGATTCTGAGAATGTGCCTGCTTAAGTCTCTGAGAAATCATCTGTATCTGTTGATCCTCCTTGCTTACCTGCTGTGAAGTCTGATCTCTTGAATAGTGAGTCTTTTAAAGCATATGTAGAGGAAGACAAACCGATTGATGAGCCCAACAATCTAAGTATGGTCGTTTTTGAGACTGATAATATTGCTCTGTCCCCTCTGTTGTTGCTGATGTCCCACAAGAAGTCGACTCTTCTGTTAATCCCTCTGATATGCCTGCTGTGATTGAGAATGTGAAACCCTCAAACCCCCGTGAACCCAAGAATATGGTTGGTATTCCGGTCTACACCTCCTCATCTCTGGCAGAGAGTCTTGAACATGTTAGGCACTTTGCTGGTCTACCTTCTGCCTCCATTCCAGAACCCTACAGAGTGATTCATCCTTCGGAATCCTCGAGTGAAGATGAAAAGATCCTCGCTGAAGTATATGACACCCAAGCTCATGCATCTACGGATCCGACAGTTGAGGCCACAGCTCATCTTGATTCCACAAATTTTCTTGGAAGCTCCTCTGCTAATGTTTCTGATTCTAGTCATTCTGTGACTCCTGTCCAATCCCCAACCAAAGAAACGAGAAGGTAAAAAAGGAAGAATGTTCCTGTGAAAGTTGTTGTTGAGACTGGTGATGACAGTGCTGATGTGGATCAGCCTGAGAAGAGAAGGAAGTCTAGTGAAACCGTCAAATCTGAAGCAAACCCACCTATCCAACAAGTGTTCAAGACACTGTGATCTTCTATTAAACAAAAGGGCCCTACAGCTGTTCAACCTGCTGCTGTACCTACATCATCTGCCAGAAAGGGGAAACCATCCACATGTTCCAGAGGTCGAAGCATAACTCCTGAAGTTCAACCTGTTGAAGGGTCTGACACATCTGTTTACAAGCCTCAGTTTGTATCTCCAGCTGCTCAGGGAAAATGGTCCACTATGGTCAGAAGAGATCTTATTGTTCAACGATCTGTTGATGAGAATCAGCTGAATTCCGTATGTGATATTCTACCACTGCTGAATGAAGTAGGGCTGCTGAAGACTGTCACTGTCATCTGCCCATACTCGAAGCTCCTCACTTATGAATTCTACTATAATCTCAATGACGAGATTGATATCTTAACTGGGCCACGACCAATGCAGATTTTCATTCGAGGGAAGTGGTACATCTTCGGGCCTGACATGATCAATGAATACTATGGACTGACTGTTGTGCAAGAAGAGGCAATTACAGATTGGAACTTGGTGGCCAAGACTCTAACGGGTGGACAGCTTGATACTTGGCCTACTGGTGACAAGGATTATCTGCCGAGCTCTCAACTCACATCCAGATATGTTATTCTGCATCGCCTGGCTCTTCACAACTGGCTCCTATCAGCTCACTTCCACACGGTTGGTAAGCACCTGGCAGGTTTCTTGTACCGAATTGGAACAAAGATGCCGATTGATCTAGGAAACTGGATTTACTACCACATCCTCAACATGATCCATCCACGAGAGCAGAAGGTAAGGCTACCCTTCCCGAATCTGATTTATGGCATTCTTACAACTCAGGGTCTTGAGTCTATGCCGAGTGAAGTGATCAGTCCAACTCTACTCTATACTGTTGATCGGCGTCTTTTGACTGGAGATCACATTCGTGATGTTATACCGGTGACTGCCCCCTCCAATTCTGAACCTGATACTGTGGCTGATGACTCGCCCCATGCCAAGGATCTTCATCTCTCCATTCAGTTAAAGGCACGGGTCTCTGAGCTTGTGACAATTCATGGTATAATTGCTAAACAACTGACAAGGGCCCGTACTGAGCTGGCAACCGTTCTTCTTCGTTTAAGCTTATCTGAATTTGCTATTGCTACTGCACCTGCGAAGTCCGACAGTGACACTCCCTCCAATGCTTGACCTTTGGCTCTCATTGGCAAAAAGGGGGAGTAGTATGAACTCAGGGGGAGTTGTTTTTGTGTACCTTCTGGCCCTGGCTGGGCGTTGTTTTTGATGGCACCACTTCTTATTTGAAGAATGTTCTTAGACTGTGTTTTGAACCAGCATGACATGTATGCTGTGTTTCTATTTTTCGTTCTGCTATGTAATCAGACCAGACTCATGGGTTGTTTCTTTATGATAACCTATCTTAGTTCTTTATGTTTATGTCTTTCTACATAGTTGAGTTGTTTTGCCAAATAATAGCCAAAGGGGGAGTTTGTTAGTGTTTTTAATTGTTCAAAAACCCCATTTTATAATTGGCAATATTATTATGGCATACTAAGATAGATTTAGCTTAGCGTCCGTTTGGCTCTACAGAAGACTGATCAATCAGAAGGACTGACACTGAAGATCTGTTTTAAGAAGCTGTTTACTTAAAAGCTGTACGCGGTTTACAGAAGACAGATTTGGAAGGAAGATCAGCGTATTTGCTTTGGAAAGGTATGGACCGAATCTTTAAGATTACATTATACAAATATTGTTCTACGATCTACAATCAAATACATCTATGGAAGGAGTGTTCTATCGACGGATCTATAAGTATCCGCATTCAAAGTGAATTAGGGTTACGCCTTCAGTGAGAAGAAACACTCCACATCAGTTTTATGAGATTAGATCTTTGATTATCATGCCTCTTCTCAATACAACATGTTCTTGGTGATTAAGATGATGAACTTGAGAAGAATCACTGCTGCTTAAACGAAAGGACATTGTGATCACACTGTTGTGGGAACAACTGTAAAGAGCGTCGTTGAAGTGGACTGCATCAGAGTTGGCTCTCCAAGTGAAGGGATTTCATTGGACTTCTGTATGCATGGCTCTCCACCTTCAACAATCCACTAAACCTGTGTAGACTAGGTATGTACCTTGTGTGGGGCACTTGGGTGAGATTATTGTTTATCTACCTTCGTACATTGGATTATGATTTAGTGGATTGGATGCCTATTTGATCGTCCCCCAGACGTAGATACACACTGTATCGAACTGGGTAAACATCCTGTGTCTTTTGCTTTGTGCTGTTATATTTTCTTTAAACATCTCTATGATCTGTTAGTACTGACTGACTTCATCGCTGAATCAATCAGTCCATTTCATCAGTCGATTAATCCAGTTAATCTGTTTAAAAAGAGGAAATGCAAAATTAAAAATTTTATGGCAAAAGCAATATAGTTGGTATATTGTCTATATAATGGCAATTTGGTTATTACCTTAACTTTAGTCTCCCTAAGTATCATAATTGTCATGGTTAATTAGTATGTGGTAAATTGAGATTAGTATTTGGCATTCCTTAATTACAGTTTTGCCTTTATTGTAATTATTATTAATTAGCATTATTAATTACTGTTATTAAGTTTAGGGGCTAATCTCATTTTATTACTTTTCATAATAATTATCATTTAATGGTAATCTGCTATATTTGGTACATTGGCATGATTACCACTTCATTTTACATGATTATTAATGTTGGTAATTAAGTCCTACCAATAAATTTTTTACACGTACCATTGGACACTGCATCGAGTTTATTGACACCGATAGTGAAGATTGGGAGAATTCTGGAGTCTTTTCTTCTCTTGTGGATCGTCATCATTGTTAGCGCAATGGGCAGATGCGGTTTGCATCAATAAGGTTAGCCATTAATTATCTTTTATGGTTGTTATTGATAATTAGTGCTACAGTTACGGTTAACCGCTAATTTGGACTAGTCACATATTTTATCTTTAGAAAAATGAAAACATTGAAAGTGCATTACCATACTTTAGTTTGTCATTACTAATGTTAATAGTGATTATAATGTTACTTATTGCTATTAATAATTAGTTAATTAATGATGAAATTAATATTGTTATGGTATTCAATTATGCACCTTGAACTGTTTCCAAATAAATTTATGTGACAATACTCCAGTTCAGAAAATAATTTTCTGGACATTAATATTTTTCGGACTTCAAATTTTATTGAGTTTTCAAAATTTTATCCGAAAACATTTATAAGTGTTAGTGGTTTTGACCATTGTTTTTTCATATTTAGTTTCCTACTTAATGTGATAATATTATTATGGCTATTTATTGCTATTTTGGTTATTTGCAATTTTGCCATTAATAATAATAATATTATCAACTGGGTTATGGAGAGTGATTTTGAATCAATTTAGTAATCTTGGGAAAACATATTTGCTAGACAATTGACTTTTGCCATTAATTCCATAATTCATTTAGTTCTTGGAATTATGATTTTAGTTCTGATTGCCCATGTTTGGTTAAGTATGAATATTTGGTATAAATTCATATTCTTTAGTTGGTTCATACTTTATAGATTGTTTTATGCATTCGATCACATTAAGTGCATAATATTAAGTTTAATTATGCAATTAGGGTTTGTGAGATTTTGATTTACAAATTATAGGATATCTTTTTGGTTTGATATTGTTTGAATTTGTAAATTCAGTTATTTCTTATGAATTTGATCTTTATGCATTAAAACATTTTGCCATGGGCTTACAGTTTAAAAATTTTAAAGTATATATTCAGTACATTATTATTCAAAATGTTGGGTCTCTTTTGGTTTGGACTCATTGGTGTTTGAGTATTAAATTTATACTTTAAAATCTTAAATTGTAAATTGCTTTAAGTTATGCAATTTATTTGGGGTATATGAGTTTAATGTTTAATTTTATGCATATTTGTCCTAAGCATAATATTATGTTTTAAATTATGCAATTTTATTATGCCTTTAGCAATGCATACTTTGAGATGGAATTATATTAGTTCCTATTTAAGTTGGACTTACGCATAAACTTTAGTCGCGGTAGTGCCTGAATTTAAGCACGTTTAGTCCGCTATTTTTAGTTCACCATTTAAGCTTTAATTATAGGTGAACCCTACAGTTTTCTGGTGTATACCCTACAGTTTTGACTGAGATAATAAGTCTATTATCAATTCTTTATTGAGCACATAATGGTACATATTATTCCTTCTATATGAGGATAATAACCCCATTTGCAACTCTTTAAAGAGTAAATAATGGCACATAATAATACTTAAATAAATCCTCATTTCGAGAATTATGAATCCATCAGGGATTTCTCAAGATAAATTTAACTTCATATCTAAATTTATTATTCTGCCAATTGTATTATGTAGCGGAACTTAATGCCATTTGTCGTGGGAGAGTATATTTGATTAAAATCAATTAAGGGTCTCTGCGTGAACCCATAGGCTACAAACTCGCTTCATCACCTCATTATTCTTATTTCTCTTTCATGCACACACCCATTTGTAACTTTCAGGGTTAACGCTCCAATGGTGTATTGTTATAAAGAGAATTATCCATTTTAGCGAGTCGAGCTATGCTTTAATTGCTCCTTTATACGTTAAATAGTCATGGCACATCTGGTGCCTAACTCTGGATCCAGATTATCATATAATAGAGCAATTTGTAAAGGCAATTGTGTTGTCGACAACTATAACCTTTTCATAAATGTCTCTCATATTTGTAAAAGTAATGACAATTTCTAAAACAACCAGATTCTAGACATTTCCCAAAGATATTTTGATCTGGTCGTTCCGCATCCCTAGTATTGTGTTTGTTTGGTGCACCTATAAATTGACTAGGGTTTCTCGTCATCTGGACGAGCGTCTTCAGGACTAAATTATTTAATGTTATTTCAAGAGTGACAATGTTTCTATACTAGATCTAGTATAATGATTCTTATTTCTTACACCGATGGATCTCCTATACTTCTGGTATCAAGGAGTATCGATATATTCATTTGGTCCAGGTTGGGGAAGGTACATGAGACCTAGTCACTCTTTTATGATTAGTATGATCAATGAATGTATTTTGGCAGATTTATTTGCTAATATCGCAAATAGATTATCTTCTAAACTTCCGGTTCAGTCTAACTAGTACATGGATTTAAATAATGAAGATATTTTCATTCTATGAAGTTTCTTGGCATCCTATTAAATTTGAACTCTTATCTTCCCCTAATGTCGAGAAACGATCTTCATTAATTTAGTGTACCTAAGTATATGTATTGGTCTCCTATCATGTGTTCTTGGTATTAATTAATCAAGAGACGGAGGCTTATTTGGTAGCCTTTTTAGAGGTACACTGTGATGGTGCTATATTGAAATAGGCTGCGCACTATAAATAACGCAGATAGGGAAATGTTACTTTTGAAACCACGCACTAGGTGAAAAAAAAAGGGGTATAGCAATACTTTTAGGGATTGATTTGTGATATAACTTGACTCATAGTAACGCCATAACAGTCCTTCGGGGATTGATGGGATAGGTGGACCATTTTTTGTCAAGAATTCATCGTCAAGGTTCATCCTAAAGGGTGACTTAGAGAATTAAAGTCATTGATCTACCTTCTGGGCAAATAAAAATACAAAAAAAAAAGAGGGCTATAAATTTAAATATCATATACCCAAAACTCATGTCAAAGAGTTTCTATAGCAGAAACTAGCACTGTAAACAGGTCATAGCCTTTAATTTTTATCACATGCAAGCTAAGGTTTAGTAACGACAGGTGCAACCTAACCATATTGAGAATTCATGGTATTTTAATTCGTAAATTAGAAAAATGAGAGAAGTACCGTTTGCCGAAGAATAATGAGCACATGTTTGTTGTCGTGCCCATTCATTCCTATTTCGGGGAGTCAAAAACAACACTTTTCTAAGCAAGCTCTCATTTTATCTCATAGTTTCATACAAGCATGAAAACATCACAAAATAGCAAGATATACAAGCTAAAAAGGGCAGAAAATTCCAGAATTTTCTGGGGAAAAAAGGTAACACATTTTGGCACAAAATTTTATAGATATGTAGTTTAGCAAGTCTAGAACGTACATGAAAATTTTCATTCCAATCCAAGGTCTAGAAGTATTTTTCGTGAAATTAATTTTCAAA